GTAGTCGTAGTAGTAGTAGTAGTAGTAGTAATAGTGGTAGTAGTAGTAGTAGTAGCTGTTGTAGTAGTAGAAGTAGTAGTAGTAGTATTAGTCGTCGTAGGAGTAGCGATCGTAGTATTAGCCGTAGTAGTAGTAGGAGTAGTAGTAGTAGTAGTAGTAGTAGTTATAGTCGTACTAGTCGTAGTCCTAGTAGTAGTAGTAGTGGTCGTAGTAGTAGTAGTAGTAGTAGTAGTAGTAGTAGTAGTAGTGGTAGTAGTAGGAGTAGTAGTAGTAGTGGTAGTCGTAGTAGTAGTAGTAGTAGTAGTAGTAGTAGTAGTAGTAATAACAGTAGTAGTACTTGTAGTAGTAGTAGTAGTAGTAGTAGTAGTAGTCGTCTTCGTCGTCGTCGTAGTAGTCGTTGCAGTAGTAATAGTCCTAGTAGTAGTAGTAGCGATAGTACAGTAGTAGTGGTACTGGTAGTAGCCGTATCGTGGTCGTAGTCGTCGTCGTTGTTGTCGTAGTCGTAGCCGTAGTCGTACTCGTAGACGTAGTATTAGTAATAGTAGTAGTATTAGTAGTAGTAGTAGTAGTAGTAGTAGTAGTAGTAGTAGTGGCAGTAGTAGTAGTAGTAGTCGTCGTAGTAAGCGTAGTAGTAGTAGTAGTAGTAGTAGTAGTAGTAGTAGTAGTAGTAGACGTAGTAGTAGCAGTAGTAGTAGTAGTAGTAGGAGTAGTCGTAGTAGTAGTTGTAGTCATCGTAGTAGTAGTAATAGTAGTTGTAGTAGCAGTAGTAGTAGTAGAAGTAGTCGTAGTCGTTTTCGTAGCCGTAGTCGTAGTCGTAGTAGCAGTAGTAGTAGTAGTAGTAGTAGTTGTAGTAGTAAGTAGTAGTGGTAGAAGAATTTGTAGTAATACTAGTAGCACTACTAGTAGTAGTAGTAGTAGTAGTAGTAGTAGTAGTAGGGGTAGTCGCAGTCGTGCAGTATTGGCAGTATTCGTGTTCGCATCCGTATTCGTATTCGTATTCGTATTCGTAGTAGTAGTAGTAGTAGTAGTAGTAGTAGTAGTAAAAGTAATAGTATTAGTCGTCGTCGTTGTTGTTGTTGCCATATAGTCGTAGTCGTAGTAGTAGTAGCAGTAGTAGTAGTAGTAGTAGTACTAGTAATAGTCGTAGTTGCAGCGTTAGTAGAAGCATTAGTAGTAGTAGTAGTAGTAGTAGTAGTAGTAGTAGTAGCAGCTGATCGGTTGTTTGGTAGCCTGTGTGTTTTCGCTGTGCTGTTTTTTACTTGTTGTGCTACTTGTTTGCTGCGCTGTTGCGTGCCTGATGTTTGCTGTTGGTTGTCTGTGTTGTTTGGCTGCCATGCGTGTGTCAACCTCCCACGTGGGTTGAACCATGAGGAGTATGATGATGATGATGATGGTGATGATGATGAGGAGGAGGCGGAGGAGGAGGAGGAGGAGGAAGGAGCAGTCGGAGATAACAGCACCAAAACCATTGAAAAACAAATAAACCCAAAACAAACCCAATTCATCCTTAATCTTTTCGCTACTTAGTCGGTCTGGGGCTCGGGGGGCTGGGAATCCAAAAGCATTTGAAAACCATTGAAAATCCAAGAAAATCCAAAAACATTTAATTAATCCCTGTGAGGGTCCCAAACAATTCGAAAAACCTAATGTTTTCATAACTTACTCGGCTTGGGTGGCCAGCCAGCCCCAGACAGACTAAGTTGCGAAATGAGTTGTTTGAGTTCTTTGGGACCCTCACAGGGATTGATTCGATTTTTCTGTGGATTTGTTTTGGATTTTCAATGGTTTTCCAATGTTTTTGGATTCCCAGCCCCCCGAACCCCAGGCCGACCAAGTAGCGAAAATATTGAGTTGTTGGAATTTTTTGGCACCCTCACAAGGATTAATTGGGCTTGTTTTGGGTTTATTGGTTTTTCAATGGTTTTGGAGCCTTGGCTGGCGAAGTTGATGGAAGCTGTGGGGAGGAGGGGGAGCGGATGAGGGGAGGGAGTAGGAGGAGGAGGAGGAGGAGGAGGAGGAGGAGGAGGAGGAGGAGGAGGAGGAGGAAGAAGAAGAGGAGGAGGATGGGGGGGAGGAAGACGAGGAGGTGCATGGTGAAACCAGGGTGCATCAATGATGCTGTAATGCACCCTTCCGTATGAGGAGCAGGAGGAGGATATCCAGAGTGACGCCATGATGCATCAACGATGCTGCAATGCACCATCCCGTAGGAGGATCAGGAGGAGGAGGAGGAGGACGAGGAAGAGGAAATTCAGAGTAAGCCCAAAATGCACGAACGATGCTGTAATGCACCTTTCCGTCCCATGCTCCCTCCTCACATGTCCGTGCAAGCATTCCCTTTCACAACTGGACGTGCGACCTTGAAAGGTAATCGTCCCATGGGCCTGCATCCGTGGCAGAGCTCCGGAAGTGTCGGAAAGAAGGGAGCTTCTTCTTTCCAATGTCATCTCCTTCCTCCTCCTCGCCATCCCTGTCACGCTGCACCAGCCTCTCCTATCATTCCGCCTCCTCATTCGCCTCCTCGTCCTCCTCCTTCTCCTCCCTATTCCTCCCACTTTCTCCTATTCCTCGTGCTCCTCCTCATCCTCCCCATCATCCTCGTTCTTCGTTTGGCACCCCATCTCGCGGCATGTTGGACAGATTTTGAGATAGTTGTTGTATAACATCTGTTTGGGGCGCCCTCGAAGGACGGACCCCCGAGGCGGCCCAAGCAGCGGGGCCATTGAGCAACGAATGGATTCGCGACACCGTTGTTCAAAAGCAAGCGTTTCGCTCTCCCTCTCCTTTTCCTCCCCCCTCCCTCCCTCGCTTCCGTTGCCGTTTTGGCTCAAGATGTTTTCTGACTGGCTCAAGCGATGGGTTTCCGCCCCAAGATCCGCGCTGGCCCAGCGCGGGGAAGTTCTGTGGACAAGGTGCGCGATGGAACCCTGAAGGCAGACGCAGACGGTAGCGAGCAGCAGCGGGACTTGCACTTCCTGGGCACACTGACTTTGAACAAAGTGGTGCAAAGCAGTCAGATCTATGCGGCTCCTATGGCACCACCTTGTACCGGACGTTTCGCCTTTGATGCAGACGGTGATGTTCCTCGCCGTCTATGCGGTGGCAAGGCAGCGCTCATTCACGGAACACGGGCAACTGAAAACACATGCATGGCGCGCGCCCACATCTCGTTGTGTCTTCACACATGCAGATGACCGATGACCTGTGGGAGGGCGTGCATGTTCATTGATGTGTGCGCGTGTCTGCATGCATGTGTTTTCCGTTGTCCAAGGATGGCTGGAAAACGCCCGTTGCTTTCGAGGGCGGCAAGATGACGTTGGAGCTTTGGTGCGCCCTGGTCACTCTGGTGAATCCTCTCTCGGGTCTTTGCGTCAAGGACGTAGTGCTTGGCCTGAACCTCCATCCAGTGCACAAAGATTGCGGCGACGATGCTTTTTTATAAGATGGGCGCTCAGCGGTGGCGGAGATGGGGCGGCGCGCAGCGCGACGCCCACGCGAGGGCCATGATTGCCCTCGCTGCCCAGTGCTTTTTTTGTGTGCGCAGCGAGAAGGCGCTGTCGTACTTATCCGAAAACGGGTCGGTCCTGCTCGATTCTTTCAAGGTGTGGGCGGCCTTCTTCTACGAGAAAACCTGCCTGCACGAGGCGCCGATGTACGGCATCGAGGCCAACCCCGAGCGGAAAAGAAACCAGCGTACCACTGCGCAGAAGACGTGGGGCGTTGGCTATACATTGGACGCGCTGCTCCAGCAGGGCACGGCATGAGCTCGACGAGGCAATCCCCGTCGCGGGGGCGAAGAAGCGCTCGGGCACGCTCGACGATGCTCTTCGCGACCGTGTCTGGTCGTGGCTGCATCGGTGCAACAAGCGCCACTCGGAGGCGACATCTGAGGGCGCGCTCAGGTCGTTGGCCAAGCTGCTGAGCTCTTGAGGTTCCCGCTAGCCGAGCGTTTGAGAGCTTGCAGTGCGAGGTTAGCGGGCGCGTGTGCGATTGGCGCGCTTGCTCGTGAGCGGCGAGCTTTTTTTTTTTTTGTTTCTCCTAGGCGCGCTGCAGCGTGGGTATGACCAGTTCGGAGCGCGTAAGAGATCGGCGCGGTCACCGTGCGTGCGGCAGTTAGCGCTGTCAGAAAACATTAATCAGCATCGCCGTCGCCTCTGATCCCTTGGAACATCGCGTATGCGAAAACACGCAGGCCACCGAACAACCGATGACCTAGTAATAGTAGTAGTAGTAGTAGTAGTAGTAGTAGTAGTAGTAGTAGTAGTAGTAGTAGTAGTAGTAGTAGTAATAGTAGTAGTAGTAGTAGTAGTAGTAGCAGTAGTAGTAGTAGTAGTAGTAGTAGTAGTCGTAGTAGTCGTAGTAGCCCCTGCTGTTTGATTGTAGTTGGAGCCAGAAGGGGAAGCATGCGCAGTGAACAACAACGCGCGTACATGCTTTGCCGTGCTCCGCAAGACACCGCGCCACTGAGTTTGCAGGGTCTTGATCGTTGCTGCTGGCTGGTGCTCTTCTCCATTGCAAGTCCGCGATGCCGTGATGTGATGTCCCGGTGCGCGCGCCTCGCGCGGCTGGCACCTCGGGCCGCCGCTGTGTGCCCCGTGCGGGCAGTTCCCCTCTGCACTCTCGCTCTGGTCTGGTGGCTTCCCGCTGCTCCGAGTAGGGCATTCGTGCCCTCCTCCCCAGATCCCCTCGCGTTGTGAACAAAATCGCGCCAGGAGGTCTTTCGTTATTTTCGGCCTCCTGGAGCCCTTACCAGGCCTCGGGGCCGTCAGAAACGACGCAGGATGAGAAACCGGTCCCGGGGAAGGGGTCCGGACCTCTGGGGGTCGCGTCAGGAAACAATTCCTGACGTCGGGGTCTGGGAAGATCAGTGCGGCCTCTGTGCACTCTTTCCCCAGGATGTTGCTCAGCCTTCGGCGGCTGCTGTGCGGCGCCCGACCCGCCGGAACCTGCCTGCTCGCTGCAGAGCTGCCGCCGCTCTCCGGCCCCGCCTGATCCGCCGAAGGCAGCCATGGCAGCTGCGCGCGAAGGCTCCAGAGGCCCCCGGGGGCGGTGGCGGGGCAGCGGGCAGCGCCAGCAGGCAGTTTATACGTGAGAGGATATTAGTAGTAGTCGGAGCAGGAGGAGGAGGAAGAGGAGAAGGAGGAGGAGGAGGGAGGAGGAGGAGGGAGGAGGAGGAGAAGGAGGAGGGACGAGGAGGAGGAGGAGGAGGAGGAGGAGGAGGAGGGAGGAGGAGGACACGGAGGAGGAGGAGGAGGAGGTGGGAGAGGAGAAGGAGGACGAGGACGAGGAGGAGCAGGAGGAGAAGGAGGAGGAGGGAGTAGAAGGAGGAGGAGGAGGAGAAGGAGGAGGAGGAGGAGGAGCAGGAGGAGGAAGAGGAGGAGCTGCAGGAGGAGGAGCTGGAGGAGGAGGAGGAGGGGGTCAAGAACATCCTTTGGTTTCTAGGGTTCGTCCTGACGTTCGTCGCGTTTGGGCTTTCCACCCTGAGATGTTTTTTGTTTTGGGTATGTCCACGGGGCATTTGGGCCCTCGAGCAGGGAACTTCACGTTCTTTACTCACGGTTCTGTTGCCACGCTTCGACAGTGCAGGCGGAACGCAGCAGAAAGGATTCGATCGTCCATCCAGCCTGTCGCATGAATCGTTATCTGCTCAGCCGAGCTTTTGGGCTTGCTGCTGCTGCTGCTGCAATTTGTTGCAGTATGGGCGCCCAGGATCCCCCCAAGGGTCGTGCACCCTTTGAATTTGGAGAGCAATAACTCCAAAACTGTCATAGGGGATAGTTCGGGCATCGCTCCTCCTCCTCCTCCTCCTCCTCCTCCTCCTCCTCCTCCTCCTCCTCCTCCTCCTCTCTTACTCCCCTTCCTCCCTCCCCCTCCCTCCTGTCCCCACAGAGGCGCAGTGTGTTCGTAGCAAGGCCAGCCGAACAGCCGCCAGAGAGTGACGCTGCCAACGCGTGGCACCGTGGTCCTTCACCGCAATCCTGATCTCTTTTTTTTCCAGCTCGTTGTGTGTTGTCGGTCAGCTTTTTTCCCCTGAGCTTTCCTCCAGTCAAGCTCTGATCGAGAACGGCCTGAACGCCCACACCGCCGCCCCTCCCTCCCCCTCCTCCCCCTCCCCGTCCTCCTCCTCCCCTTTCTGGGAGTGGGGGGGGGGAGGCTACCCGACTCAAGGGAGGAACCACCACCCGCACCGGACAATTGGCGTTTACCAGACGGCCCTGGGCGTTTTTTTTTTTTTTTTTTTTTTTTTTTTTTTTTTTTTTTTTATTATATATATATATATATATATATATATATATATATATATCATTATTATATATATATATAAATAAAAACTGCCCTGCCCTGTTCGGTTCCTTCAGTGGGCGCGCTTCCTGAACGGCTTCGCGTGTCGGGGCGGTTCTAATCGGGGTGGACGTTCTGCCCTCTGCCCACTGCGCCTGCGCCGGAGAGCGGCGGAACGCTGCGGCCCCACCGCGCTCCGAGCCCCGACCGGGACGCCCCGAGGCGGCCGCGCGGTCGTGCGGCGCCGGGGGCCTCGCCTCGGGAGGGCAGCAGCAGCCGACCTCGGCCAGGCGGAGCTCGGCCAGGCGGAGCTCGGCCGACTGCTTTCGGCCAGGACGGCTTCTGCCAAGCTGAGGTCGGCCAGGCCTCAGGAGGGGGAATGGCACACCGACGCAATTAATATTGATCGTCGCCTTCCAGGAGGGGAAGTGGTGGGGAAGACGAAGATCCAGAAGATATGGGGAAATGTTTGGGATATTGGGATCTGTGTGTATTTATGTGTGCGTGTGTCCTTGAAATTCGGCCAGGCTGAATTCGGCCTAGACCGAGTTCAGCCTGGCCGAGCTCAGCTGGCCGAGTTCAGCCTGTTCAAGCTCCGCCTTGCCGAGTCTTTCCCTTGTCGGCGGGCCCCCCCTAAGAAAAAAACGATAACGGGGACCAGCGTATCGTTCGCCATGGTGCAAACGGGTCCTCAGGGAAGTGGTCCCGAGGTTGTTCTCTGTTCCCAGATCTCCGACGCCAGGACTTTTTCACTCCGGGCGGTTGCCCTCGATTTCGGCCGCCCGGGGTCACGGCCAAGCCCGTTGGGATCACGCAGCAGGCGCGCCCTGGCCCGCGACGACGGGTGCAGCTCCAGATAGCCGCGGCGCAGCTGGCACTCCAGGTCACGGAGGCGCCGCCCCGCGGCGGTTCGTCGGCGGAAGCGCCCTCGCGGGAAGCGGCGGGAAGTGGAGCGGCGGAGGCTGCGCAGGCGGCTGGCTGGGGCGCCTCTCCCGCGGCAGGCAGGGCCCAGGGCCCCGGTGCCCCCTCGGCGCCTTGGCTGGCGCCGGCTGTGCATGTGCTTGGGCATCCTCCCCGCGGAAGTGTGGCGTCTTCCTCACCCTCCCCTTCCTGCCCCCTTTGGTGGGCTTGTTTTCCACCACCACCACCATCAGTAGGAGGGGGAGGTGGTCCTCTTCCTCCTCCTCCTCCTCCTCCTCCTCTTCCTCCTCCACCACCTCCTCCTTTTCTCCCGTAGCCATTTTGGCTCAAGATGTGCTTGCCCCGTGGCAGAGCACGGAGACCCTTGGACCAGGGCCAGCGAGGACCCCGCTTTCACGCCTTCAGTGCGCCCGCGGCGTCGAGCTTCATATTCCTTGCTGCCGCATTCGCCTGCGGTCAGCATTCATGTCACGCGCATTCTCTCGAGGCTGGCGCGGGCCTCCTCTCATCAGCGGCTGAAGTGGATAGGTGGGTTCGGCGGGTGGTGAAGCCCCCCAACGATTCCGCAGCTCTCGGAATCAGAGGATAAGGGAAAGGCGGACATGTCGATTCCTGGGTTGCTGGTGCGCAGAAACTACTTGGTTCAGTTTTCCCAGCTCACCACCCGAAAGAATTTCAATACCTACTTCAAGCTCAAGTCGAATAGGCAGCCAAAGCATTCGAATAAACTTCCCACAGGGTCTGCCACGAGGCCCAGGCCGAGTATATCAAGACCACCCGCCGTACCACAGAGGAGCTGTGCAAAAGACAAGAAAGGATGGAACGCGACGCGTCCTAACTCAAAGCTCGAGCCGGCAAAGCTGAACAACTCAGTGCCGATCTGCGAGCCACAGTTGACGACATCAAGCTGACCTTCGCTCATGCAGAAGCCGTATGTCCTTCCATCAGCATCGACAACCTCGGGAGCTGGGGCAGAAAGCCCAACGCTGCTACGGTCCGGTGCTGATCCCAGGCAGAGTTCGACGCCTCGGCAATCAAGCGCGCGTTCACCGACTGGTTCGCCGTCGCCAATGTGGACATCAACGCTATCCGTCTCAACTCGCATGGACCTGGGAAACGCATGTCTTTCAGTCTCATTGGCAAAGATAGATTGGCTATTCCTGCTGCTGCTGCTCTTCATCAAGCCCTACGTGTCGGACGCGACTGGAGGACATTTACTGTTGCCACAGTTGGCGGTCCCGCGCCATTGTGCGTCTCGGCCGACAAGTCCCCGCGCGTGGTTCGACGGGAAGTCCAGCTCTAAAAGCTCAGCAAGCTCGTCGCCGCCAAGCACTCCGACATCGCGCTCAGGATCCACGGCGCCGACTGATGCCTCTCGGTCAACAATGCCCCCATCGTCCAGGTCATCGCAGACGCGACGCCAGAGGCTCCCACCAGGATCCGCTGGTCTGACGCTGCTGGCCCTGCTGGCATTCCCGCGTCCGAGCGCGACGAGTGCGGCAAGGAGCTCGCCGCCGCTGTCGCAGACCCCATGGTTTCCGCGCAGTGGCTTTTGCAGGAGGTGGTCACCATGGTTCTTCAAACCGCAATCCGACGACGTGAACATCGTCTCCTGGAGCGCCCAAGCCCTTCTCGTCCGCTCCTCGTCTCGCCGCGCCATCGAGCGCAACATCGCGTTGCCCTACACGAGGCAGCGCGCGGCCATCGCTCAACAAGAAACGCGCGGCAACTACGCTGACCTCCAGAATTTCGCCGACTCCTCTCACGATCCCTGGATCTTTCCCCATTCGGCCTGTAACGACATCGACGACAATTATGGTGGCATCGGCTTCCTCGTCCCCTATGGCAAGAGCGAGCTGGGCTTGCCTGCGGGCCAGCGACCTCGGCGCGACTTCATTCCGATCGTGCAGGGCCGCGTCGCCGAGCTCCGCGTCCTCGACGGCGAGCGCCAGTGCGAGACCACCGCGTTCAACGCGCGACCGACCGCCGGCACTCTACCGCAGCGCGGCCAGCTCCAAAACCCACCTCGGCGCCAACCCCGACGCGGACAACCTGGCCTTGATCGGCGATATCAGCATCTCTGAGCTGCCGCCCAATATCCCGCCGCGCCCAGCGCGCGCGTCCACCGCGGACAGATACCAGTACCAACCAATATACTGGAAGCAGATCATCTCCACCATGGTCACGATCACGGCGAAGTCCACGATGCACCGCTGCTCCGCCAACGAGACTGAGGCCACGATCGACCACTGTTTCATCCCCGCGCCTGCCCCCCGCGTGCCCCACCTCGAGGCGCGCCTCGCCGCGGGCGGCCGTCCTCTCGAGTGCGCTGGCGGGCCCGCTAGCGACCGCAAGTGCTGCGTCCTCGGCTCCGCCCCCGTGCTCAGCGCCCCGTGGCCGAGCGAGGCATTCCTGCCTTCGTATTCTGCTCCGAGCACTAGAAATTCTACTGCGACCGCGTTGTGAACATGGTTGGCTTCGGCCTGCTTGACCCTGTTTCGGAGTCATGACCGCAGCGGCGCAGAAGGCTCGCCGCGCCCTGGCCCCCATCCACCCGCCCGAAGTTCGAGGCGACGACCTATCTATCAGCTGCGAAGCTCGTGCCATGATTCTGCGCAGCATCGCCCGCGCCGTCTGGTACCAAGACTGGCGCCTCGCTTCTCTCCTCGCTAATGACACCACTGCTGTTCGCCTCCTACCTGTCTTTCGACAACGGACAGATCACCGTCGCCGACGTGGGCGCCTTCGCCAATGAAGTTCACGTGGCCCACCTCGCCATCGCCGATCACCGTCGACAGGTAGCCGCTGCGCGATCCCGAGCTGCTTTTCAAGAGCAGCGCCGCAACCTGGGAGAGAAATGGAGACAGCGATCGCGTCGCGAAGCACAACGTGGAGAGCCCTGGAAGCCCTTTGCCAAGCGCCTCGTCCTCGCTGGCATCCGCATCTCCTCTGGCGCCGCCTACCAGCCCGTCGCCGATCTCATGGCGATGCACTCGGCCATCCAATCGCATTGGGGCAAGGCCTTCGCCGCCGAGGACGTCGACGCACAAGCAGTGGAAAGCCACCTCGACGGCGTCTTCCCACAGCGCCCGCACCTCGACCTCCTGCCTCCCGTCAGCGAGGACCTGCGCGCCGCCGCACGTTTGGCGTGCGACTCCGCGCCGTGCATGGCTTCCTTCGCGCGGCAGCCTGGGCGCGCGGGCGGATCTGCTGCGGCACATGGCGCACGGCCGCGCGATCCCCCACGACCTGAACTACGCCATGATGGCCATGCTCCCGGGGGCGACGATTCCCCAGGCAACTTCGAGTGCGGTCGGGCCCCCGACTGCCTCTGCCCTCTCGCCGCGAGAAACAGCGACGTGAAACTGATCGCGTCTGCGACCAATCGCAGACTTCACCGCGTGGCTGCCGTGGCCGCCGGTGAGCGGCTGGGCTTCGTCAGCGGCAGACAGCTCCTGAACAATATTGTCCTGGTTGACACGATCGCCCGCCAGTTCAGCACTGGCCAGCACGCCGAGCAGCTACAACCCTGCTTCGCCAGCATGGACATCGCCGCCGCCTTCCCCGGCCTTCTTCATGAGTGGCTATGGGCTGTGTTACGCCGCTGGGGGTCCTCGCGCTGCTGCAGGCGTGCTACCACATGCCGCTCGTCTTCCTCGAACTTGGTGGTTCCCGCCGGCCACCCTGCCCGCCGAGTCAGGAGTCGCCCGGGGGCGCCCGCTGAGCGGCGCTCTGTGGGCGCTCATCTTCGACCCCATCATTCGCGGCATTCAGCGCGAACTCTCTCGCATTGGGCGCGGCCTCCTCAGCGCCTGCGCCGACGACCTAGGCATCGTCCCCGCCGCCCTCCGCCACGTCGAGCACCTCTTTCCGCGTCTCCGAGATGCAGAACTCTTTTCTGGACTGCGGTTGCTGGCCAAGCAGCGCATCTTCGCGCCGACCTGGGCGGTCCCCACTCACTCGCTGATCGCGTCCACCCAAGCCACGCTCGCCGACATCTACCCGCCATGGAAGGACTTCAAGATCGCCAGCCACGCGCGCTACTTGGGTGCGTTCGTCGGCCCTGGTGTCGCGCTTCCCCTGCAATGGGAATTTCCCGCTGGCGAGTGGTGGGGCAGGGCGCAGAGTCTCGGAGAAGCACGCTCACCTTTACAACGAAGCATCAGGCTCTCATCGTCGGCGCCGTCACCTGCCTCTCCTGCAAGGGACAGCTCTACCCTCCATCGCCATGCTTCCTCGCCAAGGAGTTCCATGCGCTACGCAGGCTACTGCGAGCAGCCCCCTCTAGCTTCACGAAGTTGGACATCTTCTCCTTCGTTCGCTGGACGGGTCTGGAAACGCAGCAGGGTCTGGAAACTCTGCCTCCGGCTACTACGTGGCGCACTGCTTCTTCCACTTTGACCTCGCGGACGCGCCTACTTTGCGAACGCCGAGCAGTCGCAGAGGGCCGTCTTCCTGTCTGCCGAGTCGTTCATGGACATTCTCGCGCCGACTGTTGGGAAGACAAGCTTTCCATCGCGCCGCGCTCCGAGCAGATCGTCACGGGCCAGCGCTTCCCGACCTGCAAGGGCTCCATCCGCAAGGCCTTGAGGCGCGTGCTTGGTGCTCCTCAGTGCGCTATTCTTCTCCCGGCAGCCGCGCGCGGCAGCCTTTGCTCGCCGAGCCCTCATTGACAAAGAAAGCCGGCCCGATCACGACGCATCCCCCCACCATGACGCGATGCAAAGAGTGGGTCGTGGCAGTGCCCAAGGAAAACGGAAACCGACCGCGTGCAAGTCGCCGCGGTCCGCCTATTCGCAAGAGTTCCGGGCCGCCGTCTACATCGACAACTTCGACAATGCCATCATCATGCGCTTGAAGGCCTGGTCCCCGCTCATCGGCGCGCCCCCGTTTGCTCGCTCTTTCGACGAATCCTTCCACGCCGCGCGACCCACGCCGACGACTACCGTGCCCCCGCAGGCGCCCTCCGCAGAGCAGTCCCTCGCCTACACGAACGAGCGCGCGGAAGCGCGGGCCGCCCGATGGATCCCGAGCGACCACTTAGACTCCTGCTACGATATACACCGCGACTGGGCGCAGTGGCCTCGCCATATGCCTACGTCGCGCGCAATTCGACGACATTCTCGACAGCGCCGCCAGCCCCTTGCAGGACGGCGGCCGCCGTCACGCAGTCGCTCTCGAGATCTGCGGGCGCCGATGGCGCAGCGCGTCTCGCGCCAGTAGCCGTCGCTACTCACTCCGCCAGTCCAGCCGCTCAACAGCGGCGGCACAACGCGAACGAGACGAAGAAGCTGCTGAGCATCGTGCCCGCCGCCGCTGGCTCACCACCCATGAACTACGCGATGAAGACCGCTGGCTTCCTGAAGACACCACCCAGGGTGGCGACAGCATCCAGAACATCGACGTGCTGGACATCGAAGAATGGCCTCCTTCGCTTGCTGCTGGCTGGTCCGTGCTTCGACTTCATCTCGCACGTGCCCCCTCCGTCACAGTTCTGGCCTGTCCTCGAGACGCTGGCGGGTGCTTGGACTACGAGCTACCGCGTGCACGTCAACCCCTTCAAGCACACGTGCCTCCTCGGCTGCCCGACCATCGAGAGCAAGAGGATTATTGACGACATCGCGCGCTACATCTCCTGCCCGAGGATGTGGAGGCCATCTCTGCCTCCCGCGCGGACAAATCTCGCCGATCGTCACCGCGCGCCTGGGCCTCAACGGAGAGCAGATCGATGACGGCGCCATTCCGCGCGCATCGCCCGCCTAGCCGTGACCTTCAAGTACTACAACTTCGTACGCATCCAGAACGCCGTGAACATCGGCTCGGCCTCCATCAACGAGGCCAGGGCCCCCGTTCACCCGTCCTACGACTCCTACGACAAAAACAAGGCAGCCATCGCCGCCGCGCGACGCGCACTGAGCCCCCCCCTGCCTCGTGGGCGGCGCGGGGCCGCGTCGGCCGTGAAGACTGGCCCCCCCACCACCAGAGTTTGAGTGGCCTCTGGCGCGGGAGGGTGGCCGCCGCCTCTCCCCCCCAGCCTGGTTCGGGCGGCGGCGGCGGCGGTCAGGTCGGCGCCCCTTGTTCCTCCACAGGGGGGGATGGGGGGTTCCTCGGGCTGAGGCCCGGGCTCGGCGCTGGAAGGCATCGCGAGTGCATCCGTAGAGGGCGCGCTACGGCCGGAGGCCGGGGAGCATGTGGCCGGGTCAAAAAACGACTTACAGTCAACCCACGTAGTAAAGACGGGCAACCTTCCTAAGGGTACCCTTGCATCCTTGCCTCCTCGGTCCATCCTTCGCCACTTTCGTTGGCCCCCCGTTCGGCAAATTTCGACATGAGCGTCCAAGGCCCTTGCATCCTTATCGCGCTTCTTTACTATACGGGATGGCTGTACGACGTTGTCAGGTTCTGGGGTGCTGCAGGGGCGTGTTGCAGGGTATTGTAGGGGCTCCTGTAGGGTCTTTGCAGGGGGTGCTTTGCAGGGTGCTGCAGGGTCGTTGCAGGGTGTCCAGGGTATCCTTCTCCTCGTCTTCCTCCTCCTCCTCCTCCTCTTCCTCCTCCTCCTCCTCCTCCTCCTCCTCCTCCTCCTCCTCCTCCTCCTCCTCCTCCTCCTCCTCCTCGTCTTCTCTTTTTCCTCCTCCTCTTCCCCCTCCTCCTTCCCTCCCTTCCTCCTCCTTCCTGCGGCAATGCCCCGAGCGCGAGGCGTCGGCGAGCGGCACGTGCAGGCCGCCTACTCGAAAGCCCTGCTGGGGGTGCCCTCGGGCAGGCCCAGCCCGCGGCCCGCGGCCGGCGACGCGGGCGCCGGCGTCGGCGACCCGGTGCGGCGTCGGCGTCGGCTTCCGCAGCTATTGGTTTTGTTTCGGGCCTGTCCCTCTACAGGAGGGATAGTCAAAGATAGTCCAAAAATGGTATGGGGACGAGGTTTGAATTATTTTTGAGCATTTTTGGGGGGCGTATCTTTTGAGCATTCTGCACTTTTTCGCCCAGAATCCCCCTGTATGGGGGACAGGCCCGACCTAAAGCTATTGCTTTTGTGTCCTGCCTCACTGTCAGGTGTGACCGGTATATCATGGGAGCCCCATTTTCCGTTTCATTGGCGTGCCGCATTCTCGCAGCGGATGTGATTGGCCCGAAGAGTTGCCAATCGCGCCATCTTCCGCCCACGCGTCCTGCCGGATGCATGGCTCAGCGGTGGTGGTGGTGGAGCGACAGCTACGGAAGCCGTCTGTGAAGTCATCGGTTTGGGTACAGAAGGCCCCCCAGGCTGTTCCGGCCCGCTTCAAGAGGCCCCCTGAGTAGTCCCAGCCGGCCTCAACAGGCTTCCCGTTGGGGTGTGGAGACCGCTCCAGACTACTCGGGGGGCCTCTTGAGGCCGGCCGGGACTACTGGGGAGGTGTGTTGATACCAGCTGGGGCTGGCTGGGAGGGCTGTCCGTGCGCAACCCGAGGTCCTACCAAAGCAGTCCGCATATCGCCCACGTCGGCGAAACATGATACTTCAGCTCACGCCTGGGTCGAACGCTGCGCGTGTGTGCTCGCGCATGCGGCGGCTCTTTGGCCGTCATGATCTGCTCCGTGTCGTGCCTGCGGTGCAGCTGCTGGTGCAGCCTGCTCTGTGCCGTGCCTGCGTGTGTGCTCGCTGTGGTGGCCCACGGTGTCGGAGGAAGGGGTCGTCATGGTTGCCGTGGGGGGAGCATGTGGAAGCAGCTCTGATGATTGGGTCCACGGCCCGACGAGTCGGCGACTGGATCCCTGACGGACGCAGAGCCAGAGGACGCCCTATTAGAAGATGGTCCGTCCGATTCTCGCCGAGCCCGTCAGGCACGTAGCCGCGCGCGCGGCCCGCACTCAGCTTTCCTTCCCTTCCCTCGGAGGGGGAAGGAGCCCCAAACTCCCCGGCCCTGCCTCGCGCCCAGGGCGGGACGCGCGGACCTCGTCCCCGAGCGTTTCCCCGGGCGTCGGCGCCCCGAGCCCTCCCCGGCCCCCTTGCCACGCGGAGTGGAGCGGCGCGCGAGCCGTGCACGGGGCGTGCGCAGGAGCAGAAGCTGCTTCGCTGCAGCCAGAGGGAGTCGCACCCCGACGGTTCCACGAGGTAGTCCTCCTGGGCGGGCCTGGTGGTTGATGGCGGGTTGGACTCCCTCCTTGGAGAGGCTGCGTTTGCGGGGGTGCTCTATATCAGAGGGTGGCTCGTCTGCCCTCTGTTCAAGTCGGGGTGGGGGCCGCTTCCTGGCTCCGGGACCGCCAAAAGCCGACTCAGGATGAAAAGGCGGTTCCAGGGGAAGGTTCGATATTCCCATTCTCTTCGTTGTGAGAAAATACACGACGGGAGGTTTTTCGTTACGTTCGGCCTCCAGGGGCCTTTCCCGAGCCTCGGAACCGTCAACAAATGACTCAGGATTTATCATGTTCCAACCTCTGTACTTTGGGCTTCATCACCCGTCGACGCTCTTTCGGTACCCCTTCTGCTGGGCGCTGAGTACGATGTGAGCAACAGAACTGGGGATGTGGTCCCTAAGGACGATGGGAGCAACAGAACTCGGGATGAGCAGCCGGCCCCGGGGGATGGGCCCAGACCTCCTGGGGGTCCCGCCGCCGTGAAAAGTTCAGGACGTCGGGGGTCTGGGCTCTCCGGGGCGCGCTCCTCCCAGGCATCCAGCGTATGCAGCAGTGTCTGGCTTCGGGGGGCCCTCGCTGGGCCCCGGGGCACAACAAATGGTCCGGGATGAATGCCCATCGGTCGTTGAAAGAAGGTGTTTTCGGATTCCCAGAACCCAATCTGCTTCGAGCGCCTTCCTACCTTCAGAATCGATCTGCTTTTGCTGCGTTTCGTTGCTCCCTGGGCGGGCCCGAAGCCAATCTGCTTTATCCGCCTTCCTACTTCATGTTTCTACCTACTTCCTCCGACCGATGGGTAGCTGTCCCCGGGGAAGGGGTCGGATTTCATGGACTCCGCATCGAAACAAGCTATACATCGGAGTTCTATGGCCGCTTCTGCGCGTCCTCATCCAGACCGCTCCAGGAGGGGGCGGCTCCGGTGGCGGAAGCTTTGCTGAAGCTGGTGGAAGTATACATCTGCCTCCAGCGAAATGGGATCCCGTATGAAATGTATTCCCAACCTTCTTGTGTGTTGGGTCCTCGTTTTGAATTCGCAGCGCCGCGCGTCTCCTTCCTTCCCTCCTTCCTCCTCCCACTTCTTCCTCCTCTCCTCTTCCTCCTTCAGCAAGAACGACCCGACGACGACCTCCCACCTTTCACAAAAGCAGAGGTAGACAAGGCGATCAAGGGGCTCCGCCTTGGCAAAGTTCCCGACACCAAGGGCCTCAGAGCAGAGATGCTGAAAGAAGGCACGGAAGAACTCAAAGAAGCATTGCCCCACCTCTACAACACGATCCTGCAGTCCAACGCTCCGCCACCGGCCAGCTGGAAGAGCACTGTTGTCACGGTAGTTCCAAAAAGTGGGGACCCTCGGTGGAGCTCCCTATGGGGCCACGAAACGCTGTACTGGGTGGGTGAAACGCAGGGAGGAGGGAGGAAGGGGAGGAGGGAGGAGGAAGGAAGGAGGGAAGGAGGAGATGCGGGGACCGTCTCTTCAAAACGAGGACCCAACACCACAGGATGGTTGGGAATAGAAAGCTTAACCGGAATAAGCACAGTCATAAGAATCATTGTCATACCAGACATAACAAACAGACGCAGCAGGGCGTGTCGGCGCCCTCGGCGAGGCGAACGTCCCCCAGCGACCTGAACCTCACGGCCGCCCACGAGGCCGGGCACGCCGTCGTGAACGAGGCGCCTCTCCGCCGCCGCCCTGCCGCGGCGCCGACGCAGGCGGCCATGACGCCGCCGCCGGCGACGCCGTCGAGGGCAACGATGGTCAGGCGATCGCAAATATGGATCAAGGGGGCGTGGATTATCGACGGGTCCCGTTTCCATGGGAAGTCGCGGATTTCCGCCGCCGAGCGATGCGTACTGGTCGAATTTTGGGGAGGGCACTTCCCCCGATCCATGGATTTGGCGACCGCGCGCTAAATCCATGGATCGCTAATCCATTTTTGCGCGCCCCCGAACTGGGGGGCGTTGTCGGCGGCGAGCGAGGGGGGGAAGTGAGAAGGAGAGCGACGGTAGGTTTTTCGCTACTCTCGGCCCATGGGGGGCCCTTACTGGGCCTCAGGACCGTCAAAGAACGACTCAGGATGAGAAGCTGGTCCTGGGGAAAGGGTCCGGACCTCTGGGGGTCGCGTCATGAAGAGTGGCCCTATGAGGGGCAACGACTGTCGGCGGCGAGCGAGGGGGGGAAGTGAGAAGGAGAAGGCCTTCTCAGAAGGCGGCGGGACTTCTCAGAAGCCCTCGCGCCTTCTGAGAAGCTTTGTTCTGTCTTCGGGGGAGGCTCAGAACACTCCTCAGGAGGCCGGGGACTTCCGAACCTTCTGAGAAGACCTTCCCCTTCTCACTTCCCCCCGTCGCTCGCCGCCTGGACTGGCTCAGGGGGGGAGCATCGACCACCAATCGCCCATTCATCGCCGAGGGGGTCCTGACATCGAGGGGGTGCAAGCACGGATTCGGAAATCTGTGGATCAGCGACGGGACCCCTTTTTCCGGACATGATGGGCCCTCTCCGTCGCGAAGTCAGGCGGCATTGGCGCCACGTTTCGAGAGGCGCTTTCCCCGACCCGTGGACCTGGAGCTCATGCGCCAGATCCAAGGATCACCACTCCATGTTGACGTGCGTCTGGTGACGGCTCGCTCCGCAAGGGATCGCGCGGTCTCGCCATGGTTAAAGTCGGAGCATTTTGATTCTATGTTTTGAGAATTTGAGGAGTATCTTTGGAGTATGTTGCATTCTTCGCCCAAAATACCCCCGTAGGGGGCCAGGCCCGACCTAAGCCTGATGATGGCCCGCTCCGCAAGAGATCGCGCGGCTTCGCTATGGGGGGCCTGTCGCCGATCTGTCGGCGGTGCTCCGCCGCTCCAGAGGCTCGATGTTCCCCCCAGCCGGCCTCCCCCCGCCCTGCCGATGCTGATGGGCAAGTTTTCCACCACCACCACCACCATAAGCTGGAGGGGGGAAGGAGGTGGAGGACGAGGACGAGGACGAGGAGGAGGAGGAGGAGGAGGAGGAGGAGGAGGAGGAAGAGGAGGGGGAGGAGGAGGAGGGAGAGGAGGAGAGGAGGGAGGAGGAGGAGGAGGAGGAGGAGGAGGAGGAGGGGGAGGAGGAGGAGGAGGAGGAGGAGGAGGAGGGGGGAGGAGGGAGGAGGAGGAGGAGGAGGAGGAGGAGGAGGAGGAGGACCCCACCCCCAACTTCTGGTGGTGGTGGAAAACAAGCCCATCAGATACCCCTCCGCCGCGGACGACGGCCACGACAGCGACGCCGACGACGCCGCCGACCACGGCGTCGCCCACAGCGGCCACGACGAGTCGGCGCCGGCGTCGGCGCCGACGTCCTCTCCGTCCTCGTCGTTGTCCTCGGCGTCGTCTTAAGTCGGGCCTGTCCCTCTACAGGAGGAACATTCAAAAATAGGGAAAAATAGTCGGGGGACGATGTTTAACATTTTTGACTACTTTTCATGTTTCGTCCAAAATCCGCCTGCCGAACCCTCCCAGAAGCCTCGATCTTTGAGCCTCCCCCAGCCGCCGTCGTCTTCGTCGTCGGCGGCGGCGGCGTCGTCGGCGGCATCGGCGTCGGCGCCCTCTTCTCAAGGGAGGAAAACCATCCGGACGGGACAATTGGCGTTTACTGAATGGCCTTTGGCGTTCATTAAACAGCCTGCCCTGTTTGAGTCCTACTTTGGGCGCGTTTGCTAAGCGGTTTCCCGTGTCGGGGTGGTTATTATCGGGGTGGATTTTCTGCCCTCTATCTTCGTCCTCGTCGTCGTCGTCGTCGGCGGCACCGTCCTGCGGTTGCCCCTCGTCGGTGTCCCCACGGCCCCCCGCCGCGAGGCGATGAGGGCGGCGATGGGCCCCGGCTTCCGGACAGTGGCCCACATCAGCATCGTGCCGACGGGGTCGGATGGGGAGGATAGATCCATGCCAAGAAGCACCCTGTCTTGCCTCCAGGGTGCCCAGGGTTTCTTGTGCTTCGATGGCGCTGCTATGGAAAGTGTGATGTTCCCACACCCAAAACTTGTTTGTGGACTGCGCGCGGCTCTACAGCGAGAGCTACACTTTGTAGCACAACCGCTGTCCACCCATGACATTGTTACAATGTTTGTTGCGAAGACTGCGCGCGTCGCCGAGGCGAGTACCACAGTTTGAAGTATTGCCTCTCCATCTTTGAGTTGTTGCAGACGTTCGAAACAGAGGTGCGCGGCGTCACGTCGAAGGTCACATATTGAAAACGGCCCAGTTACCATTCGTGAAATTGTTGCAAGCTGCATGCGATTAGCAATTGCGAGGAGGTCTCGGGCGAAAGGCCCCGCCCGCCCTTCCGACACGTCGTGGGGCCGCAGCATGGAAGAGTGTTCTTGTAAAGAAAGGGGTGGACTTGAAGGCGGAGGGGTGCACTGGGCGATAGCGTCGCGTTGCCGACCTGCCGGGAAGGCAGGCGGCCGTCCGCACCCGCAAAGTGTTGCCGCGCGCGATGCCGCGCGCGCCATGTGCCCCGATCTCGCTCACGCTTCAGTTGGTCAGGCCAGGGGTATCCCAACGCTGACATCGAAACGCCTACTGCCGTTGCAGCGGTGCAGCGACTGACGCAATTGGAAAAAAGCATCGTGTCCTGAGGCAGTTGCCGTGGCAAGTGGAGCTCGGCGGTTCTATTCCAATCCGCGGTTCCGACCCATGTGGCTCTTTCCTTGCACCTTCAACCTTCGCAGTCTCTTCAGGGTGGGTGGAGACCGAGGAGCAATAGGAGAAGGGGGAAACGGAAGAGGTTGGGTCCGAAAGGAGGCGGATGATCTTGCCACAGCTGCGGGCTCCCCCCATGTTGGCGGGCCTCCCCGTGCGACTACCCGCACTTCTATCTCGGGCGATGGGTTTGCAGCGGCGTGCATGATGTCAAACAGTTCGGGATGCCGAGGCGCGCGAGCGGGCTACCCCCCGCATGTCGTGTGATTGCAGATTCGGCGCAGCCTCTCAAGAAGATGGCGGCCCTCATCTCATGGAAGGAGGAGGACGAGGAGGAGGAGGAGGAGGAGGAGGAGGAGGGGAGGAGGGAGGAGGGAGGAGGGGCCTACCTTCAATACGTCAATGATGCACTGCCGATATTCCAGGTCGCTGTTTTGCCCCCTCTGGGCCGGCCCCCACCCCCAACGCCCCCCGCCAGAGGAGGAGGAGGAGGAGCAGAGGTGGAGGAGGAGGAGGAGGAGGAGGAGGAGGAGGAGGAGGAGGAGGAGTAGGAGTAGGAGTAGGAGTAGGAGTAGGAGTAGGAGTAGGAAGAGGACGAGGAGGATGAGGAGGAGGAGGAGGTGGAGGAGGAGGAGGAGGAGGAGGAGGAGGAGGGACGGAGGAGGAGGAGGAGGAGGAGGAGGGAGACACTGGGCGATAAGATCGCGCTGCGCAAGCTGCTGTCGCGACCGATGGTCCGCGCCGAAAGTATGCCATGATGTCGCTTGCGTTTGGGACATCGATATCCCCCGCTGCAGCGTTTCGCGGACTCGTGGTCGCGTTAGGTATGCAATGCAGGTTTCCTCCGTGGCAGCGTTGCAGCGGGAGGCGTGATTTGGGAGAATTGTTGCGTCCCACCTCTGTTCTGCGGTTTCGACCCATATGGTTTTTCCATTGCGCCTTCTATTCTTGCCGCTTTTTCAGGTGGTAGGGGGGAGAATGAGGAGCAAGAGGAAGAGGAGGCAACAGAGACGGCGCCAGCAAGGTGCAGCATGATATTACGACGGCTGCGCACCCCCCGCATGTTTGTTCTTTTGTGCGACAGCCCGCATTTATTTTGCATGGTTGCTCTGCACGGGCGGGCAGGCTGACAAAACGCGGGGCGATTCCCCCATATGTCATACCGTTGCAGATTCGGTGCAGTTTCTCCAGGAGGCAGCGGCCCATTCATTATGTGTATTGGAGGCTTGTCGCCAATGTGTCAGCAATGTATCGCTGATTCCAGGTCGATGTTTTGCCTCCCTGAGCCAGTCCACCCCCGACGTCCCCCCCGAGCGGGAGGAGGGGAACGCTGGGAAACGCAAGATTGTGCAAGGTGTTGCCGCGCCCGACGCTGCACGCCCAAAGTGTAGCCTGATTTCGCTCACGTTTGGGACATCGATCTCCCACGTTGCACCGCTTCCGATTGTTTCAAGATCAAGGGTCGCGTTCGGTCTGGAGCAACGGCCGCGCTCCTGGTGCAGCGCTGCAGCGGGAGGCGCAGTCTGGAAACGGCGTTGAGCTCAGTGGCAGGTGCTGTTGCGATTGGCGTTTGGCGGGTCCCTTCCATTCCGCGGTTCCGATCCACATGGCTCTGCCCTTGCGTATTCTACTCTGGCCGATTCTTGGGGACCGAGGAAAACAAGGAAAAAGAGGTGGGGCCAGAAAGGTGGAGGATGACGATGCTGCCACGGCTGCGGGCCTCTCAGCCCCGCATGTTGGCACCCTCGCGCGACTGCCCGCACTTTTGTTGGGAGGCGGCTGGAGAGTTGGTGCGTCTTCTCCCCAGGATTGTTGCCCGCATTCCATGTGCACCTTGTTCTCGCTCGGACGTGTGCACCTAAACCGAGAAAAAACAGGGAATGGACGTCCGAGCGATGGTCAGGTGGTGGACGCCTGTCGCCCATGGATCGACCATGCATCGCCGCTTCCAGGTCGACGCGTTCCCCCTTTGGGCCGGCCCCCCCCCCGCGCCCCCCCACTACAGGAGGAGGCACGTCGCGGCCTTGTCAGTTTTTACACGAAAGCCCCGGGAAAGGTGCACTTGAGACGTGAGAAAGTTGACAGCACGCTTTGTCCCCAATCTGTGCTTGCACCGAAGGGGTCCTAGCGGATATGAATCGATTTCGCCAAATTCTCGGGCCGATTTCGGTAGCCGGCCTGGTTCCCGGGTTCCCGGGTTCTCGGGTCGAGGTTCCCAGGTTCCCGGTTGTTGGTTCTGGGCCGATGTCGGTGTGCGGCGTGGTTCCCGGGTTTTTTGGGTTCCCGGGTTCTTGGTCGATGTCTCCATCGATCGGTCTCACGATCGATTTCAGTACCTACTTCGTTATCGATTTTTCTCGTTTCACAATCGATGTTCTTATCGACCTCACAATCGATCTCATTCAAGATCGCACGAGCGATCTCACGACCGATTTCACTATCAATATCATTGAACCGACTGCCCTAACTGTCGCACTGCCGACCTTACTATCCTCCTCGCGATCGATCCCACGATCGAGCC